ATGTGTACGCATCAACAGTTGTAAATTAGTCTATCCTGATAGGGATAAAGCATGATGTTACTCAAAGATTTTATACATCAATTGGTTGATGGGCGTGTATTGGACACACAAATTTGTGTGTGTCGAATTGACAGTCTCACCAGATGGTCTACCCCTCTTACTTTCCCATAAGATTTGTTTGTATATTGTATTTAAATTTATATACATCCATCGCATTTAGTTTTGTATTGTGCATATATAATCAATTCATTTTCAGAATTAGAGGGGTGAGGAATGAAGATAGCTTCATGAATAGGGTTTGTCGACCTTCAGAATGAAAGGAAAATGTGTGTAGCCTGTGGAGGAGATTGGGAGTGTAGGGAAAGAGGAAATAATAAAAAGGGAATGCAGCAGGAGCAGGCTTTCTCTGTGCGTGGAGAGTTTTTCTAGATCACAGGCATAAAAGGGGGAATTGTTGAGGACTCATAGGGAACAAACTGGTCAGGAGAAGGTCTGATCGAAAAACTGTGAGTTTCTCAGTAGCTAGCTATTACCCACCTACAATACTCCATCATCTGCCTATATGCCTACAATTTCATTAATTTCTTAACTTCCTATATATCCTCTCCTAAGCTTGTTTTTTTTGACGAAAGCCTCATTTCATTACGAAACAAGAAAGGGTTACAGAGTTTGGACCAAGTCCAGGAAGGATACAGAACCATTCAAGGGAAATTGCAAGCCCACAAAATAAAAATGACAGACAACATCACAAGCCCACATAAAATAAAAATAAAGCAAACAGAAATACACAAGCCTACAAAAACAAAACCCAAAAGCCCACAACAAACTCCAAACCCGCCAGAAACCCTAGCCCAAACAGCAGCCTGCCATGCCCACAGAATAGCCGCTGGCCACGAAGATGAGCCGCACCGCCACCCCTGATCACAGAAACAGCCACCGCCGTCCACCAACCCGATCCGCCGCCCATGGAGAGCCGTACCATCCACAGACACCACCAAGAACGAAACCCACAAGCACCAACAAAGAGAAACCACCAAGGGGAAGCAACCAAACACGAAGAACGCCGCCACCACCGCAAAACCCAGAAACCCACCAGCAAGCAACAACACCAGGAGCCATAAAGCGAGCAAAAGCCAACCGTCCCAAACCCCGCATCAACACGTAGCACCACCGACGAACCCAAACTCGCCCACAGGCATCCCAGCACCACCGATCCAAGCAAAACAGAAAAGGAGAAACAGGGCAACAAAATCTCAAAGAAGAATCCAAAATCCCTACAACAAAACAATTGACAGTAGAACCCAAGGCATCAAGCCAAACCACCGAATCACTGGCCATTTAGAGTGAAGCAAGGAGGCGAGCTCCAAAAGTCAACAAGAATGTTGTAAATTGCAAAGCAATTCCCTCTGCACACCGAGAACGACTTCAAGATCTGACTACAAATCTGAAGTGTGGAGGAGGAAACAACTCCGAAGAGAAGTTCATGGCAAAATCCACAGAAGGGCAGTAGCAAACTAGATATGGAGAAACCCACAAAGGGGCTGGAAAGAGAGGAGCAAGGAAAACATTAAAAGCTGGAAAATGGGTTGCCGCCGGTCACTCAAAGGTGAAACCGGTGGCACCCCCAATGGAGAATGGAAAGGGGAAGCTAGAGAGAGGGCAGAGAATTTTTTTTTTTTTTTTTATGGTTGATGATTCAGAATGTCTCCTAAGCTTGTGATGAAAATCTCTGGTTAGTACTGGTTACACCAATGGGTTCCTCTCCCTTTCCTTTCCATGCATGATGTTTCCCTCATGTCCTTTTGGAGCATCCTAAAGTTGCACACAAATGAACAATGTAGACACTCCACAGTTGACAAGGATGCCATCAGAAAAAAATACAAATGCATGTTAAGATCATGGTTGTCACGCAGGACGGCATGCCACCGGTTGAATGCTAGTAAAGAGCCATTAGTTTACGTGTTGTGTCAATTGTGTTCTAAACTTTTGGTAATGAATGTAATTTTTCATACTATTGAGATACAATATGAATATTGTGCCCAATTATTTGGTTGACAATTAAAAGTTAATGGTTGACCACACGATGATCAAACTATGTTTTACTACGCATAACATGACGTCAATGTGTCCGCTACACAGGTGCCATAGATATTTGTGTGAATCCTCCTAATTTCATTGAAGCTGTGAATTAGGACTTGTAAACCTTTGATTTGAAAATTGACAACAGAGGTTTATGGGTGGAGTTCTAATTTACGTGTTGAGTTATGTCATACATCTTGAATTGGTGATATATATCTTAATTGAAGTGGTGAGCTATATCACACCGTTGCTGTTTTTTATGATATAATATAACAATGATTTTTATTAAAAATTGCATTTAAAATGTAAATACAACTAACAATCACAAACAAAATTTTCGGGTTGGTTTAAAAATTATTGCCAGCTGAAATGGGCCAACGGTTTCTGGCGGTTGGAACTTGGTCAGGCTGAAGAATTTAGTAGGCCAAAATCTGGTCTGGCTTGAAAATTTTTGTCATCGAAAACTTGGTTAGCAGAAAAATTCTGTCTACCGGAACCTAGTCAGGGGCACAAAATTTCATCGGTCGAAACCGGCCAGTCCTTCCATCTTCTTTGGCACAGTTTTTTTGCGACAGTTTAACAACCGAAGTTTTTGTAACGTTGCTAACAAATAGTAGTTATATTGAAGACATTTAGAAATTTTATTGTCGGAAAATACCTGTTAAGTAATGAAATTACTGGCCTTTATATGTGAGTCGAGAATGTGCTTCCAACTTGAAGTCTGCAACAGATTTAGAACCCTTCCAGATGGATGAAATTTTTTCAAAATATAAATAAACAGTATTTCTGAAAATACTTAGCATTTAGATTCATAATAATAACTTCTCGATCGAAATATATATAATGAAAATAAGTAACTTTGAGAAGTCCATGTATATCCAAAATCACACCATATATGTGTATATTTCCTAGCTAGTTACCCAAGGAGATGTTATATGTGTGTCGTATGGAAGTTTGTGATTGTTTCAATAAGATTGTTTTGTTTTTTTTTTTGTTGAATTTAAATAAGATTGTTACTATATTTGTATAGTTTATTTGTTTAGAATGTAACATATTTTCCTTTTATTTTTTTACAGACACACTATATGGATTTTTTTTTTTTTGTGATGTGACAGAAACAATTCCTCAATGAATTTTTAGCTGAGATTGTTTTATTTAAGTTTTTAACTAATGTAACATGAACACGCAATCAAACATACTAAATGTTGTATTTTGCAATGTATAAAACTCATCAACATATACATGTATAAGATTCATCAATACATAGAATACGATTACAAACCACAGCATATTGGCAAATTGAAATAGTGATTATTGAATATTTGGTTTAGACGATGGATTCCGTCTTTGGCAAGGTAAGATCAATGCTGTGAGAGGAGGAAGGGCTGGGGTGTGACTTATGAGTAATGTCCCGTGGATAATTAATAAGCAGCACTGCACTACTATTGGAATCCCATTGGAAACTAATGATGCGGTTCCAAAGGAGTGGAGGGGAGGGGACGGGTGATGGGAATTTAATTGGGAAGGAAAAAGTATGAGTAATAGCACTAGTTAGAACTGCCCAAAAATCACATCAACAATGGCAGGCAGACAGCTGCAGCAGGAGATTTCAGATTCAGAGACAGAGACAGAGACAGAGACAGAGGAAAGGAAACACAACACAACAGCATATATGTATGTATGTATGTATGTATGTGTTTGTTTATCCTCTTTTAACGAGGAGGAGGAGCTCAGCAGAGGTTGTCGATGGATGGATGGATGGAGTTTGCAATTGTCCTTTCCTTGCAGGCTGAAGCTGCCACCAGCTGACTTTATAGTTTATACCCCCCGGCCGGCCCCTTTTCCCACCCCATGCATTAACTCCCCAAACCAATTAAAACACAGGCAGGCAGGCAGGCTTCAGTTCAGTTCAGGCCTAGTTGTGTGCAACGTGAAACACAAGGATATGCAGAGGATGCATCCTAACTTAATCAATGTTTCTTCTGTAATTTAGAGGCGCTTCATGCGTTACCTTAAAATATATATAGTTCCATCGACATTTCTCGCATTTAATTAGTGTTCTCCTTGAACCAATTTTTTCGTTTATCCAAGGCTAATTTTTATTAATGTCTCGCTGAGTGTTGGGTGAGGGTTGAAACTTGATCAACCAAATCGCAAAAACAAGCTCCAAATGTGTAAGGCAGGCAGGCACGCATGCAGGAGTTGACTTTTATGCTTACTACAAAGTTGGGGTATGGTCTGGTGGTTTTTATTGTCCCCCTCTCTTTTCATTGGACAGCTTTGCCTACCAAAGCTCTTAGCCTTTTGTGGGTTTGAAAAGGGTAGAAGTAGAACTTTGCCTACCTAGCTCCCTGCCCTATTAATTAGCTATTTAGCTCTCTTTGCTTTTTTATTCTTCCATTCCGAAACGTTAAAAGGTTGGTTCCTATGTACATTCGATACAGTTAGGCATTTGCCCCACTCAAACTCCAGTCCACCACCACCCTTCCTTTATAAATTCCTCCCCAAAACTCACTAACCCTAATTCTTCATAACCTCACTTTTACAATAATGTCTTCACCAACATTTTCTTCTCTACCTTCCCACCCAAGTAACTGCACTAGCAAAATTAAGAAAACCAATTGCAAGCACAATTGTTAAACAAACCTTTTACAAAGATTGATCAACATATATATTAGTCAAACAACAGAGGCTTACACAACCTATTACATGGGGAAATGTCAAGGTAATTAAGGAACTTGAAAAGTTCATCAACCATCACTCCAACGGCTAGCTAGGCATATACTAATTAAGCAGCCTATCGTAATAATAATAGCAATCCAAAGCTTAAGTTACTAGCACATTAATTAATTATACGCTCCCCTAATCCTCCCTAGCTTACAAAATAACGGCATCTCCCGATCGAGCATCTCCGAAACTGTCTAGTAATCACACGCGTAGTTGTGATGACCCCTGGCCGCCAGCGCGCTGACCAAATCCGACGGATAATACGGATAGTACGGCGTCGTCGTAGCATAGTTATCCTCCTCCTGACGATGATAATAACTGTCGTACAAGTTCCCATACCCAACACGATTCTCAGCAGCCGCCATGCCCAACACTTGCTCATCGTACCTTCCCATGTCATAGTACGAGGAAGCCGTCACCATTTCACTCTTGCCCGCCGCCGCCTGCTGAGAACCGGTGGTGGAAGGCTTCTTCTCCGGCTTGGGCAGGAACCCCCGGACGACTTCGTGGAGCAGCCCCGACCCAGATGGCTCCTGAGGGAAGAACTCCAGATACTCCTCCTCCTCCTCCTCAACATGTTCCGGCGTGGCGGATGGAGCGGAGGAAGGAGGAGCGATCGCCACGGTGACGGCTCTCTCGGGGAAATGGAGGAAGTCAGCCGAAGGAGCGGGGGCTTTGTTGCGCCTCCTTTGGGCCGGGGGAGGTGAGGTGGCGGCGAAGTGGTGGTGGTGGTGGTGGTGGTCGGAGGAGGCGAGGAGTGGGTGCGGTGTCCAGCTGGCGAGGGAGGAAGAGAAGGAATGGTTGTGGTTGTGGTTGGGGCGAGTGGTGGCGGCAAAGAGGTGTTTGGAGAAATGGCTGAAAGGCGGGAAAGTGGTGGTGTCGTTGTGGTTGTGGGTTGGAGTGGGAGTGGGAGGGAGAGAAGGGTAGACGAAGTTGGTGCGGGCCTTGAGGCCGCGCATGGCTCTGGCGGCGCAGTCGTAGGCGCAGGCGGCTTCCTCGGCGGTGTCGAAGGTGCCCAGCCACCGCCTTTCCTTGGACTGCGGGTCACGTATCTCGGCTGCGTACCGGCCCCACGGCCTCCTCCGAACCCCACGGTACCTCATGGTGCCGGTGGATGTGGCGGCTTCCTTCATGGCCCTCTTGGCGGCGGTGGTGGTGGGGACGCCGTGGTGGTGGTGAAGTGGGTTGGTGGCGGTAGGGTTGGGGTCTGGAGAGCTCATTCCGTTAAGCCTCCTCAAAGCTTCTTCCATGGAGATTTTTTTGGAAGAAAGGGTTTCGTTGGAAGTTGAGTTTGAGTTTTGATGGAGTGTTGTGAGCGTGTGGGTGAGTGAGTTAGGGCTTATGTGGGTTGATATTTATAGATGGACTAGATAGAGAGAGAGAGAGAGAGAGAGAGAGAGAGAGAGAGAGAGAGGGAAGAGTGGTGTATGTATGTTTGTCTATGCATTACAAGGAAACCAAATGAGGTAAAGAACCTCAAGTAATTTTTCAATGAAATGGAGTTCTATTTTGCTTAACCTTTGTGTTTGATTCTACCAAAAAAAAAAAAAAACCTTTGTGTTTGATGGTTTATAATTATGTGCTTAATTGTATCATTATAAGTATTTCACAATTTTATTTTATTGTCACCATATATATGTTTTCTGAACTTAAAGTTTCAAGTTTCCTTTTCATGAGAGAAGATGAACCATATGAATAACTTTATTACACGAGATACAATTATACAAAACAATCAGTCGTCATTTTCTCTCGTGTTCTTCAAGTACTATGTTTGTAATTATTTAGATTCTTGAGCATAAAAACCATCTTGCATAAGGATGATAGCAAATTCCGATAAACTATATGCAAACCAATTTCGAAAGTTTGTTTCCTTGGCCTTTTCACTCTCTGGGTTTTCGAATGTAAGCAAGATCGGTTAGTAGGTACTATTCGTTAAGCGACATTATTCCTGGAAAGCTTTTTTCTTGAGAGAATTTACTGCATCAATAATGGAAGCTCTAGTTTATTTATTATTATTATTCTAAGCCGTCCCTTCGAAACTATATTCTGCTGGCATTGTTGCAGTTAATTGGACATGGCGGTGATGGTATAGTATAGGGGACTAGGGGATCGAGAAGGAATTTTGATTTTTGTCCCCTAATTAATTGTCATAATCGATTTCCCCTGCGCCTTTCTCGATGGATCTCCTAATTAATTAATGGACAATACATACGATCACGTATATATTGTCTAATTAATTAATTAAAATAAATAATAAAATAATGATTTACGTCCCTCAAAGAACAAGTTACCCCAAGATCTTTAGTTATAAGGTGGCTTTGTAGATGATGATTACTAATGGCTAAATTGTATCAAAGAATTAGATTCCAGAAGTGTGTTTAATGTTGCAAGCATAGCCGAACAGATGTATAATCCCATTTTAACGAGGTATGATAGTGGTACAATACAAATCGTATGACTCTTAGTAATTGAAACCTATCGTGAATGTTATATAGAGGTACACACAATGAAATTGGAGACAAAACGACATTAATTACTACTTGGGATGATACTACAATTTGGAAAATACCACTGATATTAGGGGTACTGATTCAATTGTGTGCACTTATTGGACCTCGGATGAAAGAGTCGATATGTGCACAAGGTTGAGAATATTGTAAGTTTTGCAATGGTATAGCTTACATTAACAGGCTAATATTATATGAACGCTTGATCCAATGATGCCACCTAAGACTCCACATTGGTAACATAACTTCTAAGGCGACTCAAATTTCAACAAGTTCAATCTAAAATCAAGATCGAATCGAGATCGGACCTGGTCAAGACCGGACTGCATTCAATCCAATTTTTAGTCCTTATATTCTCAAAAATACAGGATTGAGACCGGATCAATTCGAGCCAATTTAAACGGACCGGACCGTATGTTCACCCCTATGACCTAATATGGGACTTGGGTATTTTGGTTTGGTTTGAATTTCAACAATTAATGTATACAAATTGCGAGGTAATTTAAACATGAACCGGGGCTTGAATTTATTTGGTTTTTGGGGACATTGCGAGTTAATTTAATTTCCTTAATCAGCTACTACTAATTGCTGCTGTAGTCATGTTGTCTAACTTTGAGATGAAATTGTGGGTAGTTGGGCTCTCTGTTCTCTCGAAAACCCTAGCACGCCAGCTAGCTAATTAACACCCACACAGGCACAGAGAAACAAATTCTGGCCAAATGCCATCAAATTAATGAAAAGCTGAACACAAAAAACAGCAATTTTTAATGCGGTTCATTCCTTGAGCGAGCCTATTCCCAAGGGTGGAAATCAAATCCTGAGAGTGTGATTGATGGATCTCTCTATTAATTGGAGGGGATTTCCTGTCGTTTTGATTAATGATGCTAAGACTGTTGTGTTTATATCTTTTCCCTGTCGTTTATATGTTTTGCATGCTTGGGTGCAAGAACACGCCTTATATTTTGGGTTGTTCAGGATAAGTATTTCTGGGTTTCATTGAAATTAATGATATGCGTTTGTTTCTATAGGAGAAAATAAATTACTTAGGTGGTCTGAATTTAGGTTAGTGGTATATAGGATGACAACAAAACTCGAACCCACGGGTATCTTATCCTATTCAATTTGGTCAAAGTAGATAAAATTCGTGTTGGCGGATTTTGGGCCAGCGGGTTTAAATCCGTTCACTAATGATCGGATTGGGTTGGGTTTGGGTTTAGATATACCCGCACCATAGATACCTGTCCACACCCATATAACTAAATTTTTCCGGTATATTTAATATTCTAAGCAACTAAATATTCATTTTTATGTTTGTAGAAACATGTCTAATTTTTTTTCTAATTTTATAGGATGAAGTTGATATTATCGAGTGCAGAGTATCTCATCAATATATTTGTGTCCTTATATTTTCAAAACTTGTACGACTCATTTATATGATATTAATCTCATCAATATATTTAATTAAACGACCATTCATGAGTTTATCACTCATTCAATATTGAGGAGTGTGTTTCACAGTGTTCATAGCAAATGTCATTTATGAACTTGCAGTTGACGTTACTGCCAAAGCTAAGTTGCTTCTTTCTTATCCTTAGAAGTCAGAAAATTATAATGTTATAGAAAACCTCTAGTCTATCCCCACCATATGCAATGTAGTTGAGATTCAAAATCTAAGATATCATTATAAGAGAATTCATTATCAGCATAAAAAAAACTATATCATTTCAAGAAGAGGAGAATTTTGTGGAAGAAGAGGAGCAAAATCAAGAATTTGAAACCTAAAGAATGAAGTTTAAATGTGTTTTGATATTATTTATGTAAAAGCTGTAATGTATTGTATATAAATGACAATAAGCTAAGGTCATTATTTAGTTATGGTTTGGTCGTAGATATATGAAGTAATATTCATAAGGTTTATTATTTAGATTTCACCGATACTTAAATTGTAATTTTATATGCACAAATTTCTCCAGAGTCAAGCGGGTTAAAAACCAATTACATGGGATGCTCACTAGGAGCACAACATAGTCTTGTTCTAAGCAAAGCTTACTCCTAAAACATCCTCCGTGATTAGGGTCAGTGGAGGTGGTGCTAGTTTTATATTATTTTAAAGGGTAGGCAAGACTATAATTTGATAGCTAATGCATAACTCTATTCTGTTCTTCATACGAATGAACCAATCTAACCATCCAATTTTGAGCGGTTTGACGTCGAATAACATATTAACATCCAAGATATATAACTGTTGAGGGATGTCAAGTGTCTGTACGTTTGATGACAAAGTCAATTACAAGTCAAAAGTCTGATTTCACCGTAGTGCATTCTTATTGCTCTCTAAATTCTCACTCGATTTTCATACCAAACTTCAACATTAAAAATAGAACAAATAAATTTTATGAGGTTTTTTCTTATAAGAAAATTATATTGGGGTTTGAGTTTGAATGAATCATCTCTTAATTGCTCGAAAAAAACTCGAAATAATCTATTCATTCACCCCAAAATCTCCAACTTGATTCTCGGGGAGAAATGTCTTACCTAATTAATTATTTCTTGGTAGCAATGGCTGAGTAAATTTTATGGGGAGCTGGAAAAGAAGAGGAGGTTGGAAGGAGTAATGAAAAAGGTAAAAAGCTTTTTGCATGAAATGAAATGAGATCCCAGGCCCTATTCTGATGATCTTGTCTTGTCCTTCTACTGCTACTATCACTTCCTTTTATTTCTTGAAATTATCACTCTGAATGATTACACTGGCGTTGCTCAGAAATTGTTCCTCCAACTTTGCTTCCTTCTCGCCTTCATCCACATTTGGGTTTGGACTTTGGAAGGTGGGTTAGGACTTAGGACTTAGGGTTTGGAAACCAATGCCAGCCGACTGGTATTATCTCACTATTATTATTAGTAACAATTTACTGCTTGCTTGTGTTTATTTACCGTCACATGGAGTTGTCCCTGGGATGTAAAGAGGGGTTTTCAGTACTAGGGGTCTTCATTGAATGAAAGGTGGTTTCAAGTTGTCACTTTATGCCCTTATTAGAGGTGGCAATTAGAATCCAAATCCATAAATCCAATCTAATCCATCCACCAAATTATCCATCTAATCCAATCCATTTAAATCCAATCCATTTTATCCAATTGGATTGGTGGATTCATGGATCAATCCATGGATCCATATGACAAATTACGATTTGGTACCTATACTTTTTATATTTTACATTTTGGTACCTAAAATTTATATTTTTATACGAAAAATATTATTGGAAAATTACATTTTGGTACCTAAAAATTTTCATTGTAACATTTTAGTACCAAAACTTTTCAAATTTTACATTTTGGTCCAAGCTTTTAATCTCATTTGGATTCATGGATCAATCCACCAATCCATTTGATCCAATCCATGAATCCACCAATCCATTGGATCCAATCCATTTGATTCCACGAATCCACGAATCCGATCCAATTGCCACCTCTAGCCCTTATTTCCACTAGGGAACACCTAAGACAGTAACAAAAACAGGTCACAGATTTTTTTTTTTTATATAATCTAGGGAACCTCAGTCCCACGTGCCGCTTGAGCGACAATGGGGCTTGCTAAACCACTGGGGTAAAACAGGTCACAGATTAGACTTGTTACTTAATTATCTTACTAAGTACTAACAGAGATAACTTTGATCTTGATATAATTTGGAGTTATGCATGTATTATGTAGGAAGGGACAACACTCAATTGTCTCATTTGACTCGTGA